ATTTTTATATTCCGTTTAATATCGGATAAGGTGCCTACACAGAATAAGCCAACCTTTCCAAAATCTGCCGTTATAAGCGACTTAATTGTAACTAGCTATAATTATCTTAACTCTGCAAGACTATATTTTGTCAACGCCACGGGTTTATGGAATTCTATTCGAGCTGCTACTCGCTGCAACTTAAACAAGGGCAACTTTAGGAATGTGTTGTTTTCGTACTTTCGTCAATAAGTTTTTGTGTTCTGATTTTCGCTATCTGCTAGGATTATCATATGTGTATGTATTAGGAATGTTAATCTCGGGATCCCGGACTTTTTAAGGTCTCGAATCCCAAGTATTTTCGGGATTTGTAATTTGCACTGATGGCAATAATAGAAACTCCTTTTCTTGACCAGTATTGGCTATATTTCGTTTTTATACCCGAGCGCACTTGTGCACAAGGGTACTATAACTTTTTTCACATAACGGTTGTTTGTAACAGGCAAAACGAATCGAGATAGATATAGACAAATGTATATGTAAATGATCAGAATGAAAAGAGAAATCGATTAAGCAGTGACTGTCTGTCCGTCCGTCTGTGCACTCGAGTAAAAATTGAGATATCTTAACGAAACTTTGTACGTGCACTTCTTTCGGGACGGATGGTATTGAAAATGGGCAAAATCGGACAATAACCACGCCTACCTCCCATATAACTGTAGTTTTCAGAAATACGAAAACTGCGATATTTTAGTAACTACTGAAGATTATTCACTCAAAAAAGATATTTACAATACGTTTTAGGCGAAAAATAAGAATATTATAAATTTTTGAAAAATGGTCGTAGCCACGCCCACTTATGGTTACATGTGTATATCTTGGTAACCGCTCCACCGATTTCTCCCAAACTTAGTACAATTGTTGGCTCTGGTACAGCATACCAAAGGTCTGAAAATTTTTAAAATCGGACAATAACCATGCCCACATCCCACATAACGGTACTTTAGAGAAATACGAAATCTTCGATAAATTAGTAAATCCTGAAGCTAATTTATTCAAAATTGATGCTTGCAACAATTTTTTACCAAGAAATACGTTTGTGATAAGATTTTGGAAAATGGGGGTGGCAACGCCCACTTATGATCACATATATGTATCTCGGTAACCGTTCTACCAATTTGTACAAAACACGGTGCGGTTATTGTGCTTGCCACGTAAAAGCAAAGCGTTGAAAATCATTGAAATCGGACTAACATTACGACCACTTTTCATATAACGGTAAATTTCAGAATGTTTGAAACTTATGTATTTCGAAATTTAAGGACACTAATTTACCCAAAATTGATACTAATAACAATCCCTTGGAATTGGATTTTGGAAAATGGCCGCGATACCGCCCACATATGACTATATAAGTTTATCTCATTATGTATAACTGAACGTTCTATCGAAGATGTTTAAAATAGAGGTAACACCACCCCGGCTTACCATGTAGCGGTAGTTTTCGGAAAAGTGAAAAACATATATTTAATTCCGAAAAATGACACTGAAGATGGCACAACGCCGAAACCGGTTTGTCTGCAAACCAAACTTGACAAGGTATGACGGAAGTTCGTTCCAATATAAATCATATATTTATTACTTGCGCCGGGTATTTAATGTTCGGCTCCGCCCGAACTTAGACTTTCTTACTTGTTTATTTAATAATTAATATTTTTTGTATGAATGTCTAGCTCATTATACATATAACACCGCGCGATAGTAAATTTTAAACATAAATGTCAATATATTCGCGAAACCCTGGGCCAAATATAGTAAAATTGCGTTTTTAGTTTTTCACTCTGACGTCAGTAATTCAAAATTGATTTAAAAAATTCATAGAAATGTGCTTTGAGGGTACAAAATTAATGAGGAAATCCTATAGACTTTAACCAGATTCAAGTTTCTGGTGCAGTTCCAAGCAGTTGTGGTCAAATTTGAAACGGTTGGGTGTGCGCTCGGGGTCGGAGGCTCCATGCCAACTCGATGCCGATTTGCTAAATGAGTTCTTTGTATCCAAAAACTGTCCATCGAATATTGGTGCATTGGTCCCAAGGAGCAGACCTGTTAAGTCTTACTTGGCAGAAAAATTTTAATTCAATTCAGTCTTTGAGAACGATGTAGCTAAGTGCGTTCTTCGAAAGTCTTATAGCTCAACAGGTTATGCATTTTATTGAGAAGAATAAGCTGCTGAGTCAACTTCAATCTGGTTTCAGGCCCCAACATAGTTGTTCAACGGCAATTGTAAAAGTGTTGGATGATATTCGCCACCATTTCGATCAAGGACCTTACCTTGCTTTGCCTACTCGATTTCTCCAAAGCCTTTGATTCCGTTAATCACACATTGTTGTCTAATAAGTAAGCTAACTATTTTGGTTACAGTGAAAGCGCAGTAAGGCTGCTTAAAGATTACTTAAGTAATAGATTCCAAAAAGTTAAGTCTGGTAATAAGCTCTCTGAACTTGCCCCCATCTCTTCAGGCGTGCCACACTGCTCCATTCTTGGCCCTCTACTATTTAGTATGTTTATCCTTGATATATTTACGAGATGCTTGAATGTCCATGTATGTGCGTATGCAGATGACGTTCAACTGTATCTCTCCAACAGAATAGGGTTGGTCGAAGACCTTAGCTACAGGCTTAATGAGGATTTGGCACTCCATCTTTGAGTGGTCGAAGGAAATTCTACTTCATCTTAATGCGCAGAAGTAATATGTACTGCCTATATTTAAAGGAAAAATTGAGCCTTCCGTGATTCCACCATTGCATATTGGTACTAGTCCACTTAAACTAGTTGACAAAGTTACAAATCTTGGGTTTGTCTTGCTAACTTGTGAGGATCATGTTAATAAAACTGTGAGCCAAATAAATTATACTCTTCGATATCTTAGAATTACCTCGCAATATGTTCCTTTAGCCACTAAGAAAAAAAGGAACAGTCCAGCGCCTTCGTCTTGGTCTGCAGGCTGTATCGGAGATACAGCCGCTATATTTAAACGTAGAATACGTGGTATGGTTATTGATAACAATATCAATAGAAAAATCTATAAAAATATTGGTATATAATATCGACAACAAAATCGATAAAAATATCGGTAACAAAGTCGATTATAATATCGATAGCAAAAACGATAAAAATATCGATAACAAAACCGATAAAAATATCGATATCAAAATCGATAAAAATATCGATAACAAAATCGATAAATAATCTATAATAAAATCGATAACAAAATCGATTAAAGTGTCGATAACAAAATCGATAAAAATATCGATCATTATATCGATAAGAAACGGAAAATATCGATAGAAAAATAAATAACAAAATCGATCATTATATCGATAATTTCCGAAAGTATCGATAACAAAATCGATAAAAGTATCGATAACAAAACCGATGACAAAATCGATTAAAATGGCGATAACAAAATCGATAAAAATATCGATCATTATATCGATAAGTGAAAATATCGATAGCAAAATAAATAAAATCGATCATTATATCGATAAGTTCTGAAAATATCGATAACAAAATCTATAAAAATATCGATAACAAAATCGTTAGCAAAATCGATAACAAAATCGATAAAAATATCGATAACAAAACCAATAAAAATATCGATAACAAAATCGATAAAAATATCGATAACAAAATCGATAATAAAATCGATAACAAAATCGATAATAAAGAGATAACAAAATCGATAAAAATATCGATCATTATATCGATAAGTTCCAAAAATATCGATAGCAAAATCCATAACAATATCGATAACAAAATCGATAAAAAAACCAACAAAATATCGATTATATCGATAAGTCCCGAGAATCCCGAAATAGTTCCGAGATTGAGTCTCTGTGCCTTTATCTATATCCTTTTCTCTACAACTACCTTTATTTT